TGCGTTTCCCGTCATTCGGAATTGCGGGAAACGCAATTCCAGCCCATGGAGTGCGGTTTTTCAAAAGAAATTGCGTTCCCCATCACTCGGAATTTGACTTCTGGGACAGTTCAGACGCAATTGCGTTTCCCATATTTTGGAATTCGAATTCCGGGAAACTGCGTTTCCCGTACTTCGGAATTCGAGTTATGGGAAACGCAATGTCGGCCCTCTGGGTGCGTTTTTTCAAAGGAAATTGCGTTTCCACTACTTCGGAATAATGGGAAACGCAATGCCAGCCCGTTGGGTCAGATTTTTCCAAGGATATCGCGTTTCTCATAATTCCGAATCATGGGAAAAGCAATTTCACCCAGTCCATTGAGTGCGGCTTTTCTTAGGAACTCGAGATTCCCATAATTCGGAATCTGAATTCTGGGAAATGGCGTTTCCCGTAAGTCGAAATTGAAATTTTTGGAAACGCAATTCCAACCCATGGAGTGCGGTTTTTTCAAATGAAACTGCGTTTCCCATAGGTATATACCTATACGACCACCCTTCGGGTGATAAGGAGGTTCGGGGGGGGAAACAACGTCTCACTCGATCGGTCTCACTATCGATCCCAGTATCGATCTCACTATCGGTCTCGCTCGATCGATCTCACTCGATCGATCTCACAATCGATCTCACTCGATCTATCTCATTCGATCGATCTCACAATTGATCTCACAATCGATCTCACAATCGATCACAATCGATCTCGCACTCGGTCTCAATATCGATTTCACTATCGATATCACAATCGCTCTCACATTCAACGTCATCATCATCATCAACATCATCAACATCAACATCGTCACCAACATCGTCATCATCATGAGGGCACCGTCATCATCATCATCATAAACATCATCATCAACGTCAGCATCGTCATCGGGACAACATCATCATCATCACCATCATCATCTCATCATGAACATCATCATCATCACCATCGGGACACAGTCATCGTCATCACCATCAGCAGCATCATCAGAATCATCATCATAATCGGGACACCATCATGATCACCATCGTTCTCATCATCAACATTATCATCAACATCGTCATCATCGTCGGGACACCATCATCATCGTGACCATCTCATTATCATCATCGGCATCATCATCATCAACAACATTATCATCATCATTGGGGCACCATTGTCATCGTGAGCAACATCATCATCAACAGCGTCATTTTCATTATTATCATCATCGGGGCACCATCAACATCACCATCATCATCATCACCATCATCATCACCAGCATCATCATCGGGACACCATAATCATCCTCAACATTATCATCATCAACATCATTATCGCGGGGACACCATGTCCATCAACATCATCATCACCAACATCATCGGAATTATCATCATCATCATCATCATCATCATTCTCATCATCATCATCATCGGGACACCATCATTGTCATCATCATCAACAATCATCATGATCATCATCATCCTCATCATCGGGACACTATCATCATCATTGACACCATCATCAACATCACCATCATCTTCATCGGGACACCGTCATCATCATCATCATCATCATCATCATCATCATCATCATCATCATCATCATCATCATCATCATCATCATCATCATCATCATCATTTCATCATCATCATCCTCGCGGGACACCGCGGGACACCGCGGGACACCGCGGGGCGCCGCGGGACACCGCGGGACACCAGCGGGACACCGGCGGGACTCCGCGGGCCCCTGGCCGCCCGGAAGGGAGTCATTTGGTCCGGCCGCGCCTCAGCCACGCGGGACACCAGCGGGGCACCGGCGGGGCGCCGCGGGCCCCCGGCCGCCCGGAAGGGAGTTATTTGGTCCGGCCGCGCCTCAGCCACAGGAGACTTTCTCTCGCCCGCCCACGCAGCTTCGCCTCGCCCGCACGGCACGCACGAACACGAAACTGAAATCGATTTCCCGGTAGGGGGGCTTTCCGTTCCACTTCGATCTCGCCCCCAAACCTCTGATATATATATATATATATATATATATATATATAGATTGTCGTTTTTTTCGCCCTTCTTCTTCTTCTTTTTTGTTTTCCCAGAATGTGTGTTTCCCAGAACTCGGAAGTCGAATTCTGAGAAACCGCGTTTCCCGACACTCGGCATTCGAATTATGGGAAACGCAACTCCAGCCCATCAGCTTTTTTCCAAGGGAACTTGCGTTTCCCATAATTCGGAATTCGAATTCTGGGAGACTGCGTTCGTATTGAAATTCGGAGTTCGAATTGCGGGAAACGCAATTCCAGCTCATTGGGTGCGGTTCTTCAAAGGACATTGCGCTTCCCATGATGTGGAATTATGGGAAACGCAGTTCCAGCCCGCTAAGAGCGGTTAGTCAAGGGAAATTGCGTTTCCTATAATTCGGAATTCGAATTCCAGGAAATCGCATATCCCGAAATTCGGCATTCGACTGATGGGAAACGCAATTCCAGCCCAAACAATGGCATGCCCCATCAGTCGGAATCATGGGAAATCGAATTCCAGTCCAGTTTTCTTTCCTTTTTTTTTTTTTTTTTTTTTTTCTCTTTCTCTCTCTCTCTCTCTCTTTTTGTTTTCTCTCTCTCTCTTTCTCTCTTCATTCTCTTTCAAACATATAGCAGTAGTACCTGTTTATATACACACAATTCTATATACACATGTACATGTATATGTATATGTATATGTATATGTATATGTATGTATGTATGTATGTATGTATGTATGTATGTATATGTATATATATATATATCGACGTGAGAGCAGGGGTGCGGTTTTTCAAAAGACAATTGCGTGTCCCACATTTCGGATTTTGAATTCTGGGAAGCAGCGTTTCCCGAAATTCGGAATTCGAATTATTGGAAACGCAAGCCCAGCCGTTTGTCAGGGAAATTGCGTTTCCCAAAGTCGGAATTCGAATTCTGGACAACAGCGGTTCCCGAAATTCGGAATTCGAATCATGGGAAACGCAACTCCAGCCTATTGAGTGCGGTTTTACCAAGGGAATGTGTGCTTCCCAGAATTCGGAAGTCGAGTTCTGGGAAACTGCGTTTCCCGACACTCGGCATTCGAATTCTGGGAAACGCGGTTCCAGCCCATCAGCTTTTTTTTCCAAGGGAACTTGCGTTTCCCATAATTTGGAATTCGAATTCTGGGAATTTGCGTTCCTTGAAATTCGGAATTCAAATTATGGGAAACGCAATTCCAGCCCATAGAGTACGGTTTCTCAAGGGAAATTGTGTTTCCCATAATTCGGAACTGTGGGAAACGCAATTCAAGCCCATCGGGTGCGGTTTTTCAATGGAAATTGCTTTTCCGATAATTCGGAATTCGGATTATGGGAAACGCAATTCCAGCCCATTGAGTAGGTTTTTCAAAGGATCTCGCGTTTTCCATAATTCGGAATTGCGGGAAACGCAAGTCCAGCCCACCGAGTGCGGTTTTTCAAAGGACATTGCGTTTCCCATAATTCGGAATTCGAATTCTGGGAAACTGCATTCGAATTGTGGGAAACGCAACTCCAGTCCATTGAGTGCGGTTTTTCCAAGGGGAATTGCGTGTCCCATAATTCGGGATTATGGGAAATTCAATTCCAGCCCGCTCAGTGTGGTTTTGTAAAGGACATGATGTTTCCCATACATCGGGATTTTGAATTATGGGAAATCGCGTTTCCCGGAATTCCAAATTCGAATTCTGGGAAACCGCATTCGAATTATGGGAAACGCAACTCCGGCCCATTGAGTGCGGTTTTTTCCAAGGAAAATTGCGTGTCCCATAATTCGGAATTTTGGGAAATTCAATTCCAGCCCATTCAATGCGGTTTTTCAAAGGAAATGATGTTTCCCATGCGTCGGAATTTGAATTATGGGAAATCGCGTTTCCCGAAATTCGGAAAATTCGAATTACGGGAAACGCAATTCCAGCCCATCGAATGCGTTTTTCAGGGGAAATTGCGTTTCCCTGAACTCGGAATTCGAATTCTGGGAAACGCGTTTCCCGCGCAATGTGTCCTTGGGGCAGTCGTCCGGGGTTGCGTTTCCCATAATTCGCCCTCCTCGAATTGCTGAATTGTGGGAAACGCAAGCCCGGACGGCAGCCGTGCGATGCTGTGTCCGAGCAGCTTGACATGTGCTGTCGCCCGCCACGTCGCGGAGGCCCCTGGGGATCTCCCGCGGCGGGCTGGGGTTCCCAGAGGAATGCCCGCCCGCGCGCCGCGGTGCGGTCTCGCGACGGGCGACGTGGCGGACCGGGCAGGACCTCCGAGTAACAGTCAAGCCGGTTACTGATCAGTTTCGGGCGTCTCTGTGGCCGTCTTGGAGCCCTCTTGGGCCGTCTTGGGGCCCAATTCGGCCGTCTTGGGGTTCTCTTGGGGGTTTCTGGGGCCGTCTTGGAACATTGAACAATGAGAACCCCAAACATTGAAAAACCGGAGGAGAAACATTTACTTCTGTCACTCGTGGCTCTCTTGGGAAAACTTGTGGGGCTTTCCTGTGACGTCTCCAAAGCTTTTAGGCCGTCGTGAAGCCATCTTGGGCCGTCTTGAGGTCACAGGGTGCCGTCTTGGAGCCATGTAGGGCCGCCGTGGAGGCATCTTGTTTTCGGGAGCGCGACTTCTTCGCATTTTGCGAGGGGTTGTGGCCTCGGGAAGACGGGGCGGTGCGCGCACTGCGAGAGGGTGGGCTCCCGTAGGATGTTACATAACCCCCACCATGCAGCACCTGGCATTCTAGCACGGCCCAACGTGCCATGGGGGCTGTGTGGCGGATCGAGTTAATCTGGGTATATCGAAGTGCATCCAGAGACATCTTGGCAAATCTGGAGAAAGCGTGGAGGCTCCAGCGCAAGTCGAGGGGCAGCAGAAACCGTTGAGCCCTGAACGAAGCTACAGGTTGTGTAGAGTGCCGAGTGAGAAGCCTTTGCAATGCAACTTGATCAGCGTATCATGCATTTCTATTGCGCGGACGCGCCAAGAGGCCGCAGATATTGTGGTCAACGCGAGTACAGCTGCTACGGTGAACGCCGACAACTTGACCGACGCCTTGGCCAATGTCACTGGCGAGAGCGCGGCCACGACTGTCACGCAGGCTACACCTTGGGAGGAATGGGAGGAATAGAACATGGAGGACTGTCTTGGCAGGGTTCTCATGACACATTTTCCTGGCACAGAGAAGGCCTCATGGAGGAACGCCCTTGCAGGGTTCTACAGGCATCCTCTCTACTGCCGGTGAAAGCCATGCCCAAACTCGCGCTTCTCCGGGGCCGTTCTTCATGACACCATCTTGACCATGCACCCGCTTGTGCCGAAACCAGACATCCGACGCCGTTTTTTTCACATGGCTCCCCCTGGAGACGTTTTTTTACGGTCCCGGGGCCCTGCGATGGCCCCCAGATGCAGGGAATGGCAAAGACACTCCCGTCGTATTCGAATTATAGGAAATCGCGTTTCCCGAAATTCGGAATTCGAATTCTGGGAAACGCGTTTCCCGCGCAATCGTTTCCCGCGCAATGTGTCCTTGGGGCAGTCGTCCGGGGTTGCGTTTCCCATAATTCGCCCTCCTCGAATTGCTTAATTGTGGGAAACGCAAGCCCGGACGGCAGCCGTGCGATGCTGTGTCCGAGCAGCTTGACATGTGCTGTCGCCCGCCACGTCGCGGAGGCCCCTGGGGATCTCCCGCGGCGGGCTGGGGTTCCCAGAGGAATGCCCGCCCGCGCGCCGCGGTGCGGTCTCGCGACGGGCGACGTGGCGGACCGGGCAGGACCTCCGAGTAACAGTCAAGCCGGCTACTGATCAGTTTCGGGCGTCTCTGTGGCCGTCTTGGAGCCCTCTTGGGCCGTCTTGGGGCCCAATTCGGCCGTCTTGGGGTTCTCTTGGGGGTTTCTGGGGCCGTCTTGGAACATTGAACAATGAGAACCCCAAACATTGAAAAACCGGAGGAGAACCATTTACTTCTGTCACTCGTGGCTCTCTTGGGAAAACTTGTGGGGCTTTCCTGTGACGTCTCCAAAGCTTTTAGGCCGTCGTGAAGCCATCTTGGGCCGTCTTGAGGTCACAGGGTGCCGTCTTGGAGCCATGTAGGGCCGACGTGGAGGCATCTTGTTTTCGGGAGCGCGGCTTCGTCGCATTTTGCGAGGGATTGTGGCCTCGGGAAGACGGGGCGGTGCGCGCACCTCCATGCTGCGAGAGGGTGGGCTCCCGTAGGATGTTACATAATCCCCACCATGCAGCACCTGGCATTCTAGTACGGCCCAACGTGCCATGGGGGCAGTGTGGCGGATCGAGTTAATCTGGGTATATAGTGCATCCAGAGACATCTTGGCAAATCTGGAGAAAGCGTGGAGGCTCCAGCGCAAGTCGAGGGGCAGCAGAAGCCGTTGAGCCCTGAACGAAGCTACGGGTTGTGTAGAGTGCCGAGTGAGAGGCCTTTGCAATGCAACCTGATCAGCGTATCATGCATTTCTATTGCGCGGACGCGCCACGAGGCCGCAGATATAGTGGTCAACGCGAGTACAGCTGCTACGGTGAATGCCGACAACTTGACCGACGCCTTGGCCAATGTCACTAGCGAGAGCGCGGCCACGACTGTCACGCAGGCTACACCTTGGGAGGAGTGGGAGGAATAGAACATGGAGGACTGTCTTGGCAGGGTTCTCATGACACATTTTCCTGGCACAGAGAAGGCCTCATGGAGGAACGCCCTTGCAGGGTTCTACAGGCATCCTCTCTACTGCCGGTGAAAGCCATGCCCAAACTCGCGCTTCTCTGGGGCCGTTCTTCATGACACCATCTTGACCATGCACCCGCTTGTGCCGAAACCAGACATCCGACGCCGTTTTTTTCACATGGCTCCCCCTGGAGACGTTTTTTTTACGGTCCCGGGGCCCTGCGATGGCCCCCAGATGCAGGGAATGGCAAAGACACTCCCGTCGTGTTTCTTGCACGACGCGAGGCGCTCGGGCATCCGCTGGTGCCGAGCTCGGCACGATTCCTTTTTGCGAGTGGTGCTGACGCTGGCCTTGAGGAGTTCCCACGCGCCCTGTCTGTCTTGTCAGACGGCTCCATTGGCCGTGTGCGCGGCGACGTCAGGCTGGGCAGCCCTTGCCTTGCGATGGCGTGCCGTTCGCCCAAGCGTCGACCTCTGCGCAGCTGGTAGCCGCGGCTGGTACGTATCCTTGACGTCCTCGCGTCGTGGAAAGATGCAGCGGGAGATTCTTGCCCATTTTCCGGCTCTTCGGGCCCCCGCCGGGCCACAGGACTGTCAAGAAACGGCTCAGGATGGAAAGCTTGTCCGGGGGAAGGGGTCCCGACCTCTGGGGAGCCATGCTGTGAAGAATCTGAAGACGTCGGACGTCAGGTCGCCAGCTGGTATCCGCGGCTGCTGCCCAGCAGACTTGCCAGCCGCTGGACGGAGACGCGGGAGACCGGGAGCCCCGTCTCTCGGGCACCCCGTGCATAGAGAGTCCCTGGTCCGAGCC